CACCAGGAGCACTGTCCTCTCACACCAGGAGCACTGACCTCTCACACTAGGAGCATGGTCCTCTCACACTAGAAGCACTGTCCTCTCACACTAGGAGCACTGACCTCTCACACTAGGGGCACTGTCCTCTCACACTAGGGGCACATGGTCATTTGAGCCATTTTGCCTTTGAGGAATCACCTACATGTACAGGGTTGTACTGTGTGTGAAAGAGCTTGCAAGCTATGAGCGGGTATCACAGTGGAGACATCAGGACCATTGTCTCTCCCAGCTCCTTTTCCCTCATGCTCACCTCTGTCCTCTGGGTGCTAGGCTGGTGAGCATTGAGGATGGGAACCACAGGGGGGAGCTCCTGGCCAGGCGCTTGCCTCCGTAACCGAGAAGTTTGGAGACCATATGACAGGGTCACCACAATGGCCCGTAGCTTGTCTTTGACATTTTCCTGGAAGGGAAAGATTGTTTCTCACTGGAACAACCCCCAAGTCCCAGCCCTGACCACACCCCGCCACACACTGAAGACTCTTGGAAAGAAATCTTGGAAAGGGAGACAGAGATGCAGATGGGAATTCATCTGGGGATAAGAAAGAGAGACCATGGCAGTAAAAGCCTTCCCTGGAGACCAGACACCCACCCACCCTGTGAAATGCCAGACTTCCCCTCACAGATGTATGAAGGCCCCTCTCAAAGTCAGGCTAAGGAAGTAGGATCTCATATTTAGGCCAGCCTGGCCCGTATTAAATCGTTCCAGGACACTCCATTAAAAAAAAAAAAAAAAAATCAGGCATCGAGGCAAAAAATGGGTAGAAAGGAGCTCAAAAGGAAAACCAATTAATGCCTGGATTTTTTTTTCAAAAAAATATGGAATTCTTCACTCATTTGGGTGTCATCTTCATGAAGAAGCCCTGCTTGTCTTATCTGTCATTCTGTCAGGTCTCCTGAAGCCAGAGATGCAGGTTATCACTAGCCAGCCAAGGTGGGTACCTGGACCCAAACCTAGGTCTCCTGCAAGAGCAGCACAATCTCTTAACTAGCGAGCATCTCTTCATGTAGCGGGATATCTTCCCACTACTTTGTATAAAGCTCGGGGATTGGGCTGTATGAGAGGTAGGCGGAGTGAGAAGTCGGGAGGAGAGGAAGAGGAGAAGGAAGGGGAGGAGCTAGGAGAAAAAAGAGAGATGTAGGAAGCATGGAGAACCACGGGTCCAGGATGGTCCTGGGTAACGATTTATATCTTAAGGTTAGATAATTGGGAAACAACTCTAATTGTGTGGGCAAATTGTTAATTGAGAATTTCTAAATATATAAAGCCTTTGGATAATAATTAAGCTTTAGAGTCTCACTTCTACCACGTGGATGGCTGGTATTGTCTGGAGTTCAGCCAAGCTTTGTGGAGACAGTGTGGTGGATTGGCAGAGCCATCTCCCACACTGGCTGGCTCGTGGGTGCCAGGGCCGGTGCATCTGGCAGGTCAGAGCCGAGCAGTGGTGAGAGTCCGCTGCCACTTGTGGCCTCAGGCCTTGCCTAGTCGGAAACATGGAGGCCCCATAAAAGCAAGCCAGATTGGGCCATGCCGTTTTAAATATTATCCTCAACATCTTCAGCCCCTGGAAACCTGACATCGAGGTGTGCTCCAGAAGAGCAAGGACCAGAAGTCAGTGGCTACCTGAAGCTGGAACACAGTGTCTTCACAGACTCGGTCATGTTGATGCTTCAACCTCACGGTGCCGGAGGACTGATGCTTGAGGTCCTCCGGGCCACGGCTCAGAAAGGTCACACGTGGGACCTGGCCCCGGAGCCTCCGGTCCGTGTCACCATCTAACATATAATCTAGGACTGTGGCATGGAGGTAGAAGAGGGAAGACAGTGGGCTGAAGATTCTGTTCCCATGGTACCCTCCTCTCCACCCTCCTGGAGGCCATCGGAGTGAGCAGTGGGTGAGGTCTCCACTCACCCACACTCGGGCTGTAGCTGCTGGGCACAGCAACATAGCTGAAACAGATCTTTACGTCCACGCTGTGGGGCAAAGGGAGGCTCCTGAGCAAACAAGACTCCAAACCCCACTTCCGCCACTACCCAGATGCAAACTAGCAAAGAGAGGCAAGGAAAGCGACCACTGACAGCCTCCTCAGCCCTCCCATCTAATCTCGCCTCACCAGACCAAGCGATCGTCAGCACAGTTGGGCTGTTCCAGATCGATGGCTCTTGGATCGATGAAGATCTCTTGGGAGACATGTAGAACGGGTCTGGCCCTGGTCATAGAGAGTTCATTGGGTGGGAAAGGAGAGAATGTGAAGCTGGGCACACTCTGCAGGATCAGGTGTAAGACTGGAATGAGGTCACAGCTGCAAGGAGGGTTTGATAGCTTGGAGGCTCACCTGAACAGAGCAGCAGTATCAGCCAGGGAGCCCACAAGCAGGTCTGGGTACTGATTTCCGTCCACATCCAGGCCACCAGACAGGGAGTAACCAAAGCTCTTGATGCCCACCGCCTCACCCTCCAGCACCTGGAGACAAGCAGTCAGCCTTTCTGAGCCCTGTTTTTCCCAATCCTCCTTCCCCTGCCCTCTGTAGCTCTTCCTGCAACAAGATCATCTCCTCATGACGCCCCTCACCTGTGAAGGTTTGACGACCACCCCCAGGCTGCTCCCATGGTAGATAAAGACTTTCCCGTCTCCATCAAAGGGAGCTCCCACAGCAATGTCTGGGGACAGAAGAAAAGAGATTGTGGGATGTGGAGGTGGTAGACAGGGTCCATACCCAATTTCCTTTGTTCAGTCCTGTAGAATATGTTTCTAGTTTCATTGAGAGACCACGTGCATCATTTTAAAATCCTCTTAGTCACACTCTCCAGATAACACTAGCTCAACTTGCCTGAGTTTAAAAAAAAAAAAAAATCTCCTGCTCTCTGAGGGATACCATTACCTTCTCAGCCCCTCCCCACACTGAGCTCTCCTGATCCCAGTCATACCTGGGAAGCCATCTTGGTTGAGGTCCCCCAGTACAGCCAAACTGATCCCAAACATGGAGTCAGGGGAGCCACAGAGTCGGAGGGGAGAGATATCTGCCCAGTGGCCACCCTGGTTCATGTACACATAGACAGCACCTCCCAGTTCTTCTTGGCGTTCAAAGAAGTAGGGGGCACCCACAATCAGGTCTGCCCAACTGTGGAGGAAGGAGACAGTATAGAGCCCTCTGAACCAAAGGACCCAGGACAAAGTGCAGAAGCCACTCCTGGACCCAGGGACACTCCCCCTGTCCCCTCTCACCCATCATTGTTGAGATCAGTCACAGCCAGTGAGTAGCCAAAGCCAGAGGTCAAGCGTTCTCCAGACAGCACAACCTCAGGTATCAGGCGGCTGGCGCTATCCTTGCGCAGAATGACCACAGCCCCTTTGTGGTTGGCACGGGGGGCCCCAGCCACAAAACTCAGCTCTTCTGCACGCATGAGGCCCTTCCCAGAGTCGATGGAGAAACCTAGGTGAGGGAATCACTTACTGTGAGTGATTCTCCAAGACTCAAAAGCCAGGTGAGCCCCTGGAGGCACAAAGAAGAGTTGCTTCTCCCCAGTCTCCACCACTATGGCTAGACTATGCCTCCTCTCCAGACAGGGCCTGGAAATCCTTGTAGCCCTCCTGGTCAGAGACACAGGATATGACACAGAGGTGTCATGGAGCAGAGAGAAAGGCACTAACAGAGAAGCCTTGGTGACTTGGTGAGACGAGCTGGCATAGCCATGAGAGCCAGCCATTCATGCCCAACCTGGGGAACTGAAGGATAGGGAGACTTCTCCCATCTTTCACACCCAGAAGGTCCATTGACATCCAATGCATCATCTTTCCCCCACCCCCTTCTTTCCCACCCTGCCAAGGTAAAGGCAATATATATATATATATGAAGAAGACTGGGGTCAAGGAAGAGCTTGCTTCACCCAAATGTCTGGTATACGTCATTTCGTCCTTGTTGATATGCAGAATAGAATATAAATAGCTATGAGGGGCTAAACTCAAAAGGCTAGAGCTTTCTCCAACCTAAGTCCACCATCCACCCCTCAGAGAAACTTCTCTAGAGGTCAATACTGTCCTTCCAAGCAGGGTTGACCTTCATCTTCTCACTCTACCTGGGTCGTCCTCCTTGCAGACCTTTGGCTTACATCCCCCAAGACTATCACCTTTGAAACCTATTCTTCTCAGGCCTATTGATGGTCCTAATTCTCTTCTGCAGTTTGTGCTCAATACCCGTTTCCCTGGGCATGTGTTGGGGGAGGGCAGGGAAGGAAAGGATACTCCCTAAAGAGGAAGTAGGAAGGCCAGGGCCAAACCCCAGGGCCCAGGACGCAGGAGCTTACAAACCTAAATAGCTATTCAAGGTCAAGTCTCCGGCTGGTCCTGTGAGCCGGTCAGCAGGGTCCAAAGTTTTATACACCAGCTGGTCAGGGTCTGAGCTATCAATGTTGGTCACAAAAAGCAACCCTGTGGGGGGCAGGTTGGGGAGAGACACCAGGGAAAGGGACAGCAAGAGAAGAGAACACGGGGTACAGACAGAGCCAGATAGAAAGGCCAGAAGACGGTGAAAGGGGACAAAGGAGAGGAAGAAAGTGAGAGAAGCCAAGAAGCCAGAGACACAATGACAGAGACAGAAGGATGGGCACATGGAGAGAGGGCAAGAGAAAGGAACAGAGGGTTAGAGTGACCCTGGGCCGCGGAGGGGTCCCTACCAAGGTAGCTGTTGGCAGGGACCGGAATGAGGCGGGGGTTTTGCTCCTTCTCGCCCCCCGCCTCGTAGGGCCCGTCGTCCAGGTGTGCCAGGTCCGACGAGCCCTGAGCACAGAGCTCCACCCTGGCAGTGCCTGCAAGGACAGTCCTGTTAGTATTTAAGATGGGAACAAGGTGCACCCCCCCAGACCAGACACCACATGGGGGGCTCCTCCCCTTCAGCCCCACTTCCACCACCTCCCTAGCCCAAGCTTCTAGAGGTCCCCCGAACATAGCACTCACCGAGTGTCAGCTCAGCCAATGACAGCGTGCAGAGACGGGAATGGCAGTGATGAGGTGTGGGCTGCTGTGTTGGAGCATGCAGGCCCTGACCCAGCCGTGCATGTGGGAGCTCATGCCAACATGTAGATAAACACATGACCATGCAATGGAGAGTAGGTACCCCCCATTAATCTATGTGCTAGCATAACAGGAGTGGAAGGTATGGCAAGCAATGCCCCAGGTCCACGTGTGGTCATGCTTGGCCGGTTGCTGCCAGCAATGAATGGCATCCCAGGAGATGGGATCCCATCTCTGAGGTAAGAGGAGGTTTTGGTCTCCTCCTCTACCCTCCCCAGCGAGTGACTCACCCTTCCAGTTATAGGTTCCTGGAGCCCCAAAGACAAGGTAGTGGCTGTCTGGGGAGAAGGTGGCAGCTGTGCCCTGCTGGCAGAACCCAAACTGTTCATGGCCCTGGGGGCGGCCCTCACAGAACTTCCACTCCCCACCATCCAACTCATCACGGATGGTCAGGTCCTGGCTTAGCACAAAGCAGCGACCAATCACATCCCGAGTCTCCAAAACTTGGTCCACTCTCTGTCGAGACTCATATCGGTGTGCACAGGTCTATGAGAGAATGGAAGGACGGGTCATTTCCTGTTTACCAGGGACCTATATGTTGTTCATATGCAGACTTATAGCAGACACACCTATGCAAAGCCTGTACGTATGCACACACATACACAAACACACATACACATTACACACATACCACACACACACACCACACACACACATCACACACAACACACACATACACCACACATACCACAACACATACACAACACACACAACACACATCACACACACACCACACACACAACACACACAACACACACACACCACACACAACACACACAACACACACACATATCACACACACACCACACACACATACACCACACATACCACAACACACACATACCACACATCACACACACACCACACACACACACACCACACACACACACACACACCACACACACATACACCACACATACCACACACACACATCACACACACACCACACATACACACTCCTCTACCAGTATCACTGAAGCATCATCCCCAGCCAGAGTGAAGTCTTTATCTAGTATCCTATCCACAGCCACTCAAAGGAAGATGGCTTTGCCCTACATTCTGCCTGGATACTCTCAAACACATAATTAACGGCACATAAACATGTGCTTCCCTGATCATTCGTGTAACAATTTTGCAACATGCTAAGTTTGGTGTGTGTCTGTGTGTGTGTGTGTGTCTGTGTGTGTTCATTCAGATATGTGCAGGTGTACATGTATGCAATATCAGTGTACATACACATATGCCAGGTGTATGTGGAAATTAGGAGACAACCTTAGGTGTCATTCTTCAAAAGCTGTTCACAGTCTCTCACTGGCACCAGGGCCCTGTCAATTAGGCTAGATTGGCTGGAAAGTAATCCCCAGGCATCCTCCTGGCTCTGCTTCCCTAATACAGGTGTTACAAACGCAACCTCCATATGTTGCTTTTTGATGTGGATTCTAGGAATCCAACTCAGATACTCCTGCTTGCAAAACAAGCACTTTACTAAATCATATTCCCAGCCTCTGTCCATAGACTTTTGTAAGCCATCACCTCTGAAAAGGATATACCCTAACACCTCTTCTCTGAGTACTACCAATTTTCACAAGCATGGCTTGGACCACCATGCCTGCGGTTCTTTTTTCTACTCGTCCTTTGTCCTTGTGGACTAAAGACTAGATGTTAATAACATTAGTTATATTCAGCCTCATGGTGACATCTATGGATAATTGTGTTTCTATGAATATTAGTTAGAGGCACACAGAAAAGGGAGGGGGGGTCATGACTGAGGCAGGAGGATATCTTTGAGTCCCAGGCCAGAAAGAATCTCCATAGCTGTTTGGCAGGGCCCAGACCTCCGCTATATTCATGAGCCCTCTCTCAGAAACTAGCATAATGTTTGAAAATAAGAAAATAATCTTCAGGGCTACGACAAATGTGTGGTGGTTAGACAGACATCATAGATGAGACTAGAACAGAGAAGCAATTTCAGGCAGGAATCTAAATCTTAGGCTAGAACAAAGAAGTAGGCTTCAGGCATGAAAATGACTTTGGGCTAGGACAGGGAAGTAGGCTCAGATACTTTGGTCATCCTTATAGGCCCTTAGTAACAGTGATCATGGGAGTGATCATGGGATTTTGTTTGTTGCCTTGCTTGTTCTTTGAATATATATATATGTATATGTATATATATTTTTTTTCAATATATATATATATATATATATATATATATATTTTGGTTTTTCGAGACAGGGTTTCTCTGTGTAGCTCTAGCTGTCCTGGAACTCACTCTGTAGACCAGGCTGGCCTCGAACTCAGAAATCCGCCTGCCTCCGCCTCCCAAGTGCTGGGATTAAAGGCGTGAACACCGCCCAGCGTCCTTTGACTATTTGTGTTTATTGTCTTGCTTATTCCTTGACTATTTGCATCTATTGTATTGCTGTTTCCTCAACTTAGAACTGACCTTACTACTTGCATGTAATTAAAATGGTATAAAAGCAGATTGGGAAAAAAAAAGAATGCATAATCTAGTGAAAGGTATATTGTATATTCTTCCATGTGAATACATTTAACGAATATGCATTCAAAATAAAAAAAGTAAAAAAATAAAAAAATAGATCATAGATGAATATTTTTAAATAGATAAGGAGCAGGACCATCTCTTGCACTTTTGTGTGTCACCTAGTGGTTCTAGGAATCATACCACATGCCGTTTATAATCTGAAGGTGTTCCTATGCATGTGAACACGGTGTACACACATCATCATAATTTCTGCATTATCGCAGGGAGTAGTACTCACAACAATCTTGCCCCCGGGTCCCTGGCTCCGGACACTGACTCCCAGCCACTGGTTCTCCTTGCTTTCCTTCTGCACATTAGCTGAGGCAAGACACTGGGAATCAGGGGAGGGAACAGGGGACAGAGTCCTGCCCTCCCCTCTTCACACGCTGCCCCCACTCCACCCTCCCAAGGCCACACCTCCCCTGTCGATGTCCACTCTGTAACAGTCTGTCTCCTCTAGGCTCAGGGGACAAGCAAAGAGGCCTCCGGTGCGATTTGCCTGCTGTCCAGGAAGAGCCAGGGCCTGGGGAGCACCCACCAGCAGCCTGTAGGATGGGACAAGGGCTAGACTCAGTCCAGAGTGTTCTAATTACCCTGGAGCTTCCCCTTGCCCCAACTCCTCGGGGCCAAGCAGAGTGTTCAGTACTAAAGAGAGAAAAAAATAAAAGTCATTTTTCTCAAATTCTGTCAACAGACCTGAGCCTACAATCTTGTCACTTGCGTACTTACGTTCTACATAAAGAACCAACAGAAAGGGTGGATACATACATAGGAACACACATGTCAGCCGGAGCAGCCTGCCAGCATTGCCAGCCTAAGAGAACGGCCCTCCCCAGCACCTGTTCCTGACAAACTCCCCCACCCCCTACTTGGCCCCAGCCTCAGACTCTGCCCTCCTCCCTAACCCTGGTCCGGTTGAAACCTTGCCAGAAATGGCAAGAATGCCTGGAACAAGAGCAACGGGCACACAGACTGACACCACAGTGGCTCAGGGACAGCTTCAGAGGCCAGGCAAGAGGGTAGACATGGGTCTGCTTCCCCTTTGCCTTGTATGCAGCGAAAACCCTACCCACTGATGGCTCTGTGAGCCCCAAACTCAGTCATGCCCACTGGTATGGAAGTAGAGAAGGGTTTTTCATAGCCTCTAACCTCACCTGAGTTCCTCCCCATATCCAGAATCTCCTTTCCCATCCGACCTTCCCCTCTATCTACAGTTTTTTCTTCCCCTCTCCCTCTGTCCCTCCCCAGTCTTCTCCCTCAGGCTTTTTCTCAGCTACAACTTTCTTGGCAGAACAATTTTCCATGATTACATCCAAAGCGACTTCCCCAGAGGGGGACTGTGCTGGGAATGGAGGCTGCCTGGGTCCCCCAGGACTGGACCTTAAAGCCAGGAGTGACTGGGAAGTAAAATGAAGTAATAGATACCCAGATGGCTAAAGAGATCCTCTCTCTCCAGGAAAGGGCTCAAGAATGGCAGACAGCAGGACGAGCCTCAGGGCCTTTCTCCCAGTCTTCTATGTCCCATCCTGAGGGTGAAGTCCACAACTGTCGGACAGTATTACTGACAGGCATCTGTGGGGCACTGCGCCAGACCCGTGTAGGGTGAGGGGAAAGGTTCCCACAACTCCTGCTGTCTCTTAGCAGCTGTCATCCCGTATCAGAGCCAGTGTCAAGCAGGGGTCAGGGGAGCACGAAGATGAAAACATGGTTTAACAGTAAAGACTTGCTGCTTTTACAGAGGAACTGGGTTCCATTCCCAGCACCCACCCCCAGGTGGTTCGAAAACTCTGTCATGTCAGTTCCAGAAGATTCAACACCTTCTTATGACCTCTGTGGGAATAATTTTATATGGGCACAAGGAACACACACACAAACATAAATTTAAAAAAGTTAAATATAGATCTTTTAATAGGAGGGATGAGGGCCAGGTGGTGGTGGTGCACGCCTTTAACCCCAGCACTTGGGAGGCAGAGACAGGCGGATTTCTGAGTTCGAGGCCAGCCTGGTCTACAGAGTGAGTTCCAGGACAGCCAGGACTACACAGAGAAACCCTGTCTCGAAACCCCCCCCCCAAAAAAAAATAGGAGGGATGAGGGACTGAGGAGAGAACTTAATAGTCAAGAGCACTTGCAGGCCATAGGTGGTGGTGCATGTGTTTAATCCCAGCACTCTGCAGGCTGAGGCAGGTGGATCTCTGTGAGCTTGAGGCCAGCTTGTTCTACAAAGAAAGTTCCAGAACAACCAGGACTATACAGAGAAACCCTGCCTAAAAAAAAAAAAAAAAAAAAAAAAGATAGATAGATGAATGGATAGATACATACATAGATGATAGATAGATAGATAGATAGATAGATAGATAGATAGATAGATAGGTGGATAGATTAAAAATAAGGACTGGGTTTTGTTACCAGCACCCACATGTTGGCTCAAAACAATACTTAAGCCCAGTTCCAGAGGATCTGACATCCCCTTCTGGTCTTTATAGACACCATGCACACACATGTAATACACAGATATACACAGACAAAATGTGCATACATATCCTTTTAAAAATAGAGAGAAACAGGAAGAAAGACAACATATATTCATCATTCATTTCACAACCGTTTACTGGTGCCCCAATATGCATCAAGCCCTAAGTCAGGCACTGATAAGACAATAAAGTGATATTTATTCAGCACCTACCATAGGTCAGGCCCTGGGCTAGACATGGAGGAACTACCCTTTAGCACTCTCAGCTTGGATTCCTAGGAGAGGAGCCACAAGCGTTCTCCCACTTGCTCTCACAATCCTATAAGATAAGAACTCTTATCTTCCAGATGAGCATCCTCATTCACATACTGTAAGCAGCCTGCCCCATTTATAATCACATCTGCCCAATTACTTGGTCAGCCATTGCCTGGCCTGTTGCCAGAAGAGGAAGAAGAAGAGGAGAAAATGACACCCTAGGAAATCTAGGCGATGTGCCCTAAGCAAACAGACCCAGCCTTCACAGTCCAAAGTGTGCCAACCTGTACACTCAGAGAATATCTTTTGTTTCAGGGGAGGCTGCCTAATTTGTCTTTGCGTTTGCCCCATAGGATGTGTCAGTTTGCTGAGCTCACGCCTTTTGTGGAGTCACAGAGACACCCATTGTCTCCACTGCTTAGTGCCCAGATGCACAGCCAAAGAAGCAGAAGTGTGTGTGTTCAGAGCTCACACCTCCCGTAAAGGCCAAGTCCAGAAAGGAGTAAAGACGCTCACAGGGACAGAAGCTAAAGGACCAACCCTACTCCTGGAAGAAGGATCTCACTCAGTTCCTCCTGGAATAAGAGCACCCCTTCAACTCTGTCCCAGCCACACTCTGCTTCATGGCTTCAACCAGGGAGCCCAACAACCCCAGGCCTTCAAACCGACCAGTAACCAAAGCTTCCATGACTGCAAGGGGTAGGGAGTTGGGTGTGGGTGACATTGGCTGCAGAGTTCAGTGAGTATTAGCACACTATTACTGCATCCTACCGGACCTTCAGCCCTAGTCCAGTCCTTCCCTGACATAGTGCAGTCTGAGTGGCCCTCTGGGAAAACTGCATGTCTAGAAAGGCTGGCTCAGCCTGGGGTCCCTCCAGCCAAGCCTCTGGATCCAAGATGCTGTAAAGCTGTTCTCAGGCTCCGTGAATCCCAACACCAGGGCTCCAGAACAGCGAGCACTTTCACAGCATTAGCTACAGGCCTTGAGCCACCGAACATTCCGATGGGATCGTGATATTGTTTGATTCCGTTTTAAGTTGATAGGAATAAATGAAGTGGCAAATACAGAGCAAAGTAAGAAGGTTAGAACTCAAAATCTTATCTAAGGTAGACTGAAAACAAATGAGTCTTCTCATCAGTGCTTGAGAGAGGGGCCAAACACGGTGGCGGTTTCTCTGTGCCCCCAGTCAGCAGAATGCCCCCTACTGGAGCAAAATGGAGACAGAGAGTCAGGCCCTACTGGGAATACCCCTAACTTGGCTCTGGGAGACAGAATCAGGGGCCACCTTTAGAGAAGGGGAAAATGACAAGAGACCATGCTATTAAAAATAACCTAGAATTTGCCTGGAAATAACTCAGAGAGTTCGGCATGTCCTAAAAAGGCCTCCGGGCCTGGAACTCTAACAGACGGAGGAAGAAGGGGGGCAGGGAGGAAGAGACAGAGATGAAGCCTGCTACTGGCTAGAGACATCAGTTTTCTATCTTTCCCAAAGGTTTAGAGAGCAGACTCTTCTCCCAGATGACAGGAATAATGGAAGGAGAAAGATTAAGGCTTCCCCCACCTCCAGTGAGTGAGGAAAAATAAACTCTCATCTCTGTCTCCTGCCCCCAGACCAAGAAAAAAGACAGTCCCCAAGGACAGCATTGATTCCAGTAATGGACACTTAAATGTGGCTTATGCATTGGCCATGGGTGAAAAAGCCCTTTGGCGAGAGGGGGTGGGAAGCTTTCTTCCTGTTCTCACCTCCTGTCACATGTAGTACAGAAACAAAAACGGCTGCAAATGTGTCTAGCTACCAGGGGTCCTGAAAAAGTGACAATTATCCCTCAGCCTTTCATGCTTCCTTGTCTTTCCCAACTGCTAAGATTTCTCAAGTTGGAAATTTCCTGAGGAAGAAAGGAAGCAGCCCGGCATCTTTACTGGATCTTGCTGCTGCTTGCTGCTGCTGCTGCTGCTGCTGCTGCTGCTGCTGCTGCTGCTGCTGCTGTTTCTGGTGGTGGTGGTTACAGCTGCCACCATTTCTTGCTACTGCTCTGACAGTCTCTAATTTTCTGCCACTGTCTGTGACCAAATCATCACTGAAGACTGTCAGGCCTTCTCAGCTCTTCCTCTAGTCTCCCTGCTGTGTTAAGCCACATCAGTCCTGGCCTCTCATGCCCTGCAGTCCTCGCGCTATCTCCTGGTGCTGCTTTGACAGTAGCTATTTCTGTTTTGTCTCCTCTTTGCCTCCTATGGCACCATCATCCACTCTGCCCTTGCCCAATCCTTCCACCCTATGCAGTGGCAGAATGCTCACCCTCCCTTCCCGGAGCAGTTCACTCGTCTGAGGCAGAAGAGGAGCCAGAGATGCAAGGCTGGGGCAAGAATGCAAACTGAAGGGAGAGGCAGAAGGAAGAGGGTCTCTGGCAAGAATGTTGCTCTGTAACTCATCCCCCAAGGCAAGACTCTGAGTCTGAGGACCTGGACAATACCAGGCAAGGCTTCAAGTTAGAGTGTGAGATGCCTGCGGGCAGAGTACCATTGAAAGCCTGAGAAATGGGTAGGTGAGGAGTTGGGAGAAAGGTAGCCCAAGGCTTCAGCCTGGGGACTCTGGGCGGGTACAGTGACTCACCAGCTCTGGGGTCGGGGATGTAACTGTCGGTGCAGGGCCACCGAAAAGCCGAATAGGCTGCCAGGTTCTCCCTCCTTGCGTATGGCACCCATCACATCCAGATTGAAGGCGATAGCCCGTGGTAAAAGCAGTCCAGCGAGCAAGGAACTAAGAAGGTAGCAAATTCCGGGGATCCAGAGGGAATCGCACCTCGGAATCCTGGCCATGGGACCAACGCTCCGCGCTCTCCCTGCTAGTGCGAGGAAATCTTCGCGCGCCCCGAGCCCCAGGTCTCCCCGGGGGTGTTTCTGGTTTCCGAAATCTAGCAGATCTTTCCCGGTCTTCCAATCTTTCACTTCGGCACTCCTCTTCAGTCCTCCCCTCCGCTGCCCCTACCAGCTAAGTACAACTACTGCATGCAGTGGGAGCACCAGCTTGCGCTCCGGCGCGGGCTCTGGCCCCGCCTCCTCTCTGGGACACCGCCCCAGACCCGCCCCTGCCCCCGCCCCCTGCCCCCAGCAGCCGATAGAGACTCCTGCACACGACCCAGGGTCCGGGGATGCCCAGACCCGCGGCTCCGGGTGGGAACTGATCTAGGACCCGCCGCACCCATTGCCTTGCGCCCTGCCGCCCCATCCTAGCACTGCGCCCTTCTCCCTTCCCCCACTCTTCCCCCAAAGTGGAGGTTGAGCCCAGAAATGCGGGGAGAGAGTACAGCAGAAAGAGAGGAGGCTAAAAGAGAAAGAAGAATCACAGAGAAAGACAGACATGCTGATTAAAAAAAAAAAAAAAAAAAAAAAAAGAGGACCGGAAAGTTCCTGGGCCTCGATCTGGAGTGGTCCTTTACTGACTTCACCTCCCCTGGAGGCGCACAGTGCACCTCCTAGGCTGTAAGAATCAAACTGCTCCCCATGCCGTACAGCCCACAAATAACGAAGGCAATGTTAGCGAGTCACAACGTTAGCATTCAGAGGACCAGAGAGGACGTATAGGCACACACAGAAAACACTCAAGCAGGTGTGGAGACTGGAGCAAATGGAGAGAAGAAGGGAACGAAGAACAGAAGGAAGGTCAAGAATTAGCTCAAAGTCTGCAGTGAAGAAAAAAGAAAGAGAGAGTAAAATAAGAAATGCAAACTAAACTGTGGAGAGGGAAGAGAGAGATAAAGGGGGGCAAAAATGAAAGACAATGGACCCAAGAGACAAAGACATAGAAAGGGCGTGTCTTGCTATCAGGTCCTTCCGGGGACTGGGCATTTCCAACAACAAGAAAGATGGCAAACTGGGTGTGGTGGGACACGCCTATAATCCCAGCACTGAATAGGCAGAGCCAGGAAGATCTCTGTAACCTCGAGACCAGCTTGGTCTACAGTGAGAATTCCAGGCCAGTCAGAGCTACAGAGTGCGACCCTATCTCAAAACCTAAGAGAGGGAATGGGAAGCCAGGCTGGGTGATCCACACCTGCAACCTCAGCAGCGAACAAGGCAGAAGAAAGTCAGCCAGGTCTACAAGGCCAGTGGATTTGTCTCTGAATGAATCAACGTTAAAGGACACGCAGAGTTTTGGGATACTTCAGGCAGGGTTGAGTATCAGAAAAGAGACCTCCAATAGCCAAACCCTGTCTCAAAAAAAAAAAAAAAAGTTCTCCTCAGAGACCCAAGGGCCTACTCGACTTCCCTTCCCTTCCCCCACTCTAGGGAAGAAACAAAGAGAGGGGACTTTTTTTTTTCCCCATCACTTTGCTATTTATAACTCTAATCAAGGAATGAGGCCAGGAGAAGAGATGGGAAATAATTTGGAAAATAGTAGCCTCACAGCTTTCCACTTTGCCTTCTGCCTTCTCTTTCTTACTAAGCATTAGTCTTGCGTGCACCCCTCTCTGACTGCTTCACCTGAAGTTCTGTTTTTACACACACATACACACACACACACCCTTGAGCACTCTAGAGATCTTTCTTAGACTATTTCTCAGTGTGCCTACTGACTCTACCTTCCAAATATCTCATACTCTTTTTTTTTTAATTTATTTATTTTATTTATGAGTACACTGTAGCTGTCTTCAGACACACCAGAAGAGGGCATTCAATCTCATTGTGGATGGTTGTGAGCCACCATGTGGTTGCTGGGGTTTGAACTCAGGACCTCTGGAAGAGCAGTCAGTGCTCTTAACCGCTGAGCCATCTCTCCAGCCCCCTATCTCATACTCTTGTGATCTCTCTTCTCTTCCCTTTCTTAAAAACTGCTTCTCCTGTGTCCCTTTATCTCTTTTCACTGTTAAGGATTATTCTTTGGCTCTTACTCTGATCATAAGACAATCTTTGCCCCCGGGTCAGTTAAAATGCATGTGATAGTTTGGCCATTTTTGTAATGTTCTGCAGGGCTGTAACATTACATCCTCTAAACAGGTGCTATGAAAGAGATGCGTACATAAGACAGACAGGATTCTACCTTCAGCGTCCCCCAGTGTTTCCTCTCCAGTGTGTTTGTGTCTCAGAGCCCCAGAAAGAAGATCATGTGGTAACGCAGAAGGGCACAACTGGGATGGAACCCAGGACTTATGACTCCTCCCCAGGTCTCTGACTCAGGTCAAAAATGCCTTTAGAGCTCCAGCTGCCTTCCTTTCTGCACCTGCAGCTTGGCTTGCCTCTGTCTGCACTCCACCAGTTTCCCATAAAGCCAAGGCTGAAATCAGATGCCAAGAATCTGCTTCTGACCTCCTCTGCCCAAATATTTGAGGAGTCACCTCACCCGCCACAGGAGGAAGAAGCAGAAAATAAGAGAGATTGGTCACCCAAAATTAGCCTGGCTATAAATAGTGGGGCAAGGGAGAGAAAGAACACACAAGACTACTAAACCAGCTTAGTAATGAAGACAAATATATTTCCCTGAGGGATGATCCAGAACAGAATGTTGCAGTGCTGAGCTACACTGTAGGTGAACAGACATGAAGAAACTAGAGAAACCCAGAGAGTCAGGGAAGACCCACATTAAACATCAGATCAGGAAACATCTTCCATTTGAATTGAGTTTAGAAATTAGTAAAATTAATACGCTCAAAGCTGCACTCCTTCACTCCAAAGCCTCACAGGCAAGATCTTCAGTGTGACAGACTACACAACCAAATCCAAAAGAGCTCAGGGCTGGGGCATAGCTCAGTGGAAGAACACCTTCCTAGCATACACGAAGTCATGGATTGATTTCCAACACCACATAAGCAAAACTACTACACTATAACATTGGCATGGCACTCACAAAATGACAAAACTATATAGTGTTTGCCAGGAGATAAAGACAGAGGGGTGAATCCAAGTATTAAGGAAAGGCTCAAGAGAGCCGGGCGGTGGTGGCGCATGCCTTTAATCCCAGCACTTGGGAGGCAGAGGCAGGTGGATTTCTGAGTTCGAGGCCAGCCTGGTCTATAGAGTGAGTTCCAGGACAGCCAGGACTACATAGAGAAACCCTGTCTCGAAAAACCAAAAAAAAAAAAAAAAAAAGGAAAGGCTCAAGAGAACTCCTTCAGGGTAGCAGGCTCTGTGTTGTGGTAGTGGTTAAATGAATACATGGGGCAAAATCACACACTACTACAATCATGAATGAACACACATGTAAGTGATGTTTTTAAAATGGATGAGGCTTTCAGGTTGTTAGTGGTATTGTACCAATGGTGCTTCCTGGTCCTGATATCACAGTGCCATTACATACAATGCCACCATTCTAGGAGACTGAACAAAAGATTCTCAGGCACTTTGAGCACTGCTTTTGAAATTTTCTCTCAGTCTAAAATTATAAATATTTTAATTGAGAAATGTCCATGCCCAGGAAAGACAGTAGCCATCTTCTCCTGTCCCTTCGCTCTTCCCTGAACATGTTCTTCACATGTGTCTGGAACTCTATTTTCCTTCTAGCACCCCAGAACACACCTTTTCCTGTTGTTATCTCTAACTTTTAAGCAAGAACTTCCAGAAGACCCATTCCACAGGTCACTTCTCCCTCTATCCCCCTCTGGCAACAGAGGCTTGGATTGTGTGTCAAGGGTCACCCTTTCTCTCCCCACCACACATCCTGAGGACTTTCTCACTCACTCCACCCACCTCTCCAGCACTGGAAGCCTTTGCCAGCCTCTGAGTTCTGGCTGTGGCTAAAGCTCATAGTGTTGGAGTGGCTGGGAAAGAAAGAACATAAATGTGATTGAGTGAAGTCCATAGGGAAATGGCTTGACCACTCTGGTCTTTGAGGACCCAAGAGAAACTCTTGCATCTTGGAGAGAGGGCTCAGGGGTCATTTCCCACAGGGAGCCATTTAGACCCATCTTAAGGGCCCCTTTTCTTTCAGCCCTGGCTTTAGGCCAACATTTGGAATTTGGCCACACTGCCAACGGCCCCCTCTCTTGAAGCCCAGCCAGATTTCCCAGTATGTGAAGCGTGCAAACATTCTCCACTCCCTCCCAGTCCTCCCTCAGTCCTCATCCAACCTCTAAACACTGAGCAGTTCCTAGCACTAAGGTTTGGCCTACATACTCCATTTGGAGTTTGTTCAATAAAGCTCACTCTGAGTGAGACCTCAAAGAAACAAAAGAATAGTGAGAAAAGAGGAACACGAAGCCGCATTCATTCGATCTAAGGAAAAAAATAAGCCAGGTGTAAAATCAAAGAGAGAAATGAACAGAATGAAATGTCAAATTCACTTTTTTCTAAAACTTTGTTTACTTGGGGCGATGGGGTTGGTTTGATTGATTGGTTGTTGTGGATTCTGTTTGTTTGTTTGTTTGTTTGTTTGATTGATTTGTCTTGTTTTTTATGTTTTTGGAGCCAGGGTCACACATTGTAACCCAAGATGACCTGGAACTCTTTCTGTAAGCCATGCTCGCCTTGAACTTGTGGCGAGTATACTGCCTAGATCTCCAAAGAACTGGGATTGCAAGTGTGAAACACACCACCAAATTCAAAACTTCAGGGTATTTTTCCAGAGAGGTAGCTCAGGATAATATGCTACATGAAAGATTCCTGTAACCCCAGCACTCAAAAGGGAGACTGGGGGCCTCTGGGGCAAGCTGGCTAGCTAGACTAGCCAGAATTGGTAAGCTTGGGGTTAAGCAGAAGACCCTTCCTCAGTAAACAAAGTGGAGAACCATTGAAGAAGGCACTCACTGTCAACTTCCAGCCTCCATAAATACATGCTCATGAACCCTCACAAACACTCAGACCCAAGCATGTACATGCATGTAATG